CCTATGTGTTTTATTGATAATTTATTTTGTAGGCGAACTAAAAATACTCGATACATTATCAAAACATAAACCGCAATTAATAATATATCACAAGTGTAACCTATATCAACTAATAAAACAAATAGATTCGCCCACGTATTTTTAAGAAATTATTACTATTTCATGTTATGATAGATAGCATTATGTTGTGCAATGAAGTTGCAACTTTTTTTTTCTTCCTGTATAAAAATATTAAATTTCCTATCAAATAACATCATTTACAGACCTTCGGCAAATTTCGGCAACTGTCAAAACTCTAATTGAAAGTTTCAGATACGCAAAAATGATATGTCATGAGATAAATATTTGTAGTAAATATATTTATAAATATATAGCATATTTGTGTATACCAAAAAAACGTATATATTATAAGCTTTCCAAAATGGTATAATACTTGTATAATTTTCATTGCTAGCTTACTAGAAAATCATCCTGAAAAAAATACAAATTATGATGTTTTCGTGATAATTTTTCAATCATCGTATTTAGATGCTCTTTACTATAAAAAATTACTAGTTACATACATAATTTATACATAATATAGTAGATCAACTTCTTAGCTATAGTTTGAGGTACAATACAAGTACCTGCGCCGATTTTTACAAAATGTATTTATGGCCAAGCTCTCTTAGGCACCTCCACATAGTGCGCCGTATGAAATGGATAAAGGGTGGTCAACAGCCTAGACAGTACCCATCTGAAGAGAAGCTTAATGAATTATTATGTTCCTTGACTCCCGATTCAGCACAGAATACCTGTCCAATGTTTAACTCTAAAAATGAGTTATTGGAGTCAGATTTTACATTACAAGAACTAAACAATTGTATTAAAAGTAAAGACACGTCTCCTGGAGAAGATGATATTACGTATTCAATGATTTTCAATCTCGCCGACGAGGGGAAACAGTACCTTCTAACATTGTATAATATGATTTTTCACTCTAGTTATATACCAGAACAATGGCGGGATATTTCAATTATACCTATACCTAAACTTAATTCTGATAAATTAAGACCTATTTCCCTTATTTCTTGCCTTTGTAAAATACTTCATTCCATGATAGCTAAGCGCATCGAATGGTATATTGAGAAACATAAAGTGATATCACCTTATACCACAGGCTTTAGAAGATGTCATTCTACTGTAGATTGTCTTGTACGTTTTGTTACTGAAATACAACTGGGATATACTAAAAATGTACCTACATTAGCTTGCTTCCTAGATGTTGAAAATGCGTACAATAATATCTCGATTGATAGTGTTACAGTAGCTTTGGATGAACTGCGAATTGGAAGGTCTATTTGTAAATATTTGTGGCTTTATTTAAGTGAAAGACATCTTAAGATAAAAACCTTGGTAGACAATAAAATCATAACCAGATGGACGCATAAAGGTTTAGCTCAGGGGGACCCTATATCCCCTCTTCTTTTTAATATAGCTACTTACAAAATATGCAATAAAATTACAGAGACTAGTGTATACCAATATGCGGATGACTTTGTAATATTTATAAGCAATAAAAATATTAATACCTGTACTATTAATATGCAAAGAGCAATAAATAACATAACAAACTTATTGAAAGAACTCGGTTTAGATTTGGCGCCTTCCAAGTCAAAGATTTGTTTATTCAGTAGAGGCTTTAAAAGATATAATATTGACCTTATTATAAACAATTATCCAATACCACTGTCAGAGAACGTTCGTTATCTTGGAATGTGGATTGATAGATGCCTCCGTTGGAAAAAGCATGTCAACGAAATAGCAGAGACGTGTCAAAAGTATTTAAATTTGTTAAATGTTTTAGCAGGATCGGCATGGGGAGTCCACCCTAAGCATCTTAGAACCCTATACATATCACTAATTAGAAGTCGATTAGATTACGGTTGTTTTTTGTATCATAATTGTGCCAAAACTACATTATATAAATTAGAAAAAATTCAAAATCAGGCTCTGAGAATTATTGGAGGTTTTGTTAGGAGTTCACCAATTCATGTTATGCAGAGTGAACTTGGAATGCCACCTTTATTTATTAGAAGAAAATATCTTGCCTATAAGTATTGTCTTAAAGCGCTGTCGTTTCACAACAATGTTACGGTTGAACTTCTAACAGAACTTAATACAACTTTCGAAAATTCGTACTGGAGAAACAAAACCAAACCACTGTTACCGATACTAGTTAGAGAAACAGCAGAAAGTAATGTTTCTTCAGATTATCCATTAAATATGTACACATTAGACGTGTGGATTAGTCGAATTAACTTACGTGGAATTGTTATATCAAACTTAGAATGTATAAAAGAAGCTAAAGACAATTACGAAACAAATTCAATAAAACAAAACGTAGTAATAGAATTGAATAAAAAATATAATGATTGCACTAAAATTTACACAGACGGATCCAAATCTATAACTGGTCTAGGAGCAGCATATGTATGCCCAAGCAGAGGAGCTAAGGCTTGTTTTAAGGTGCTTACTGATGTATCTGTAATGTCACTAGAATTGATTGCCATTCATGAAGCTATTACATACTCTATTAATGAAGGTCTCTGCAAAATTGTTATAATGTCAGACAGCAAAAGTGCTATTCAACATTTAAATCGTTGTGTGTCAGGCAAAAGAGGTGTGCCGGTTGCTTATAAGATACTTCAAAACTTCACGAAATCAATTCTAGTGGCAAAAGTATTAAACTGCAATGGGTCCCTTCACATATAGGTATTAGCGGCAACGAAGAGGCTGACCGCTTAGCAAAAGAAGCATCTATTGAAGGTGAAAATGCATCAGTGAAACCATTTTATTCCGAAACATTGTCAAAATATATAAAGAGTTGTTATCTTAACTGGAAAGAATATTTTGATGAAAGATCAAAAGAAAAAGGAATATGGTATAAAACCATACAGAGTCAGCCTCTACGAATACCGTGGTTTATTAATTTAACATCAAGTCGACACTTTGTAGTGACCTTAAATAGACTTCGTTCTGGACATTATCCATGTAACAAGTTTGGACATCTTATGAAAAAAATTGAGTCTCCCAACTGTGAAGTATGCTGTGTTGTAGAAGATCTCCAGCACTTGTTGATGGATTGTGTCCGGTACCAGAATGAGAGACAAGAGTTTATTAAAAAATGTAAATTGAATATGTCAGACATTGGTGTGTTTCACAGCGTTCTGGCCCAACCGGTCTCGGAAGAGGCCAGAGTGCTGTATCGCTTTATATGTCTGCCGCGACTTTCTTCAGACAATAACATATTAGGTTAATTGGCTTAGATGATTTGTTAATTTATATAAGTACACGATGGGACTGACATGTCTGTAAAGATAAAAGTCCTTTAAATAAAGAGAAAAAAAAAAAAAAAAAGTTGTATATTTTTGATATTTTGGAATGGTTAGGGAATTATTTTCCACGAAGTGCTTTAATCTTATATATACAGTTCTCGTGTCACAATGTTAGTTACCATACTCCTCCGAAACGGCCTGAACGATTTTTATGAAATTTTATATGCATATTCCGTGGGTCTGAGAATCGGCTACTATCTATTTTTCATATCCTTAAGTAATAATGGTTGTCCACCTGTAACTTAGTGTTCTGAAACCTACAATGCGCCTTCGCGCCACAATTCACACTATTGGATATTGCAACGTAGTGTTTTCATATGGGTTACACACCCCTAAAAATTATTTTGACAATATTTATTTTTTTATAATGTGGTATTAAAAAATACATACAACCCTAAATTTTCTCTTCTACCACCTGCCCCTATTTTTATGGCGGTACGAAGTTCGCTGGGTCAGCTAGTTATCAGTATAAAAGTACTATCATTTATGTGGTAGAATACAATATTTATTTATTGCGTTATCGTACACAAACATGACAACTTACATTACATTAAAAAGTTTATCTCTCAGAAAAAACAACTTACATGAATCACATTTAAGCGCACCTAGCGACATCTATTGTAAAAAAATGCATTTTCTTCGCAATAAAGCTGCCACCTGGACGTCCTAGATAGAGACTTATTATTATAATACGATAAATAAAATATTTCTATGTTTCATCCAATATATTGAAAGTCAACAACTTTTCCAATTTTATTGTATTCGTCTTATGCCACGTGCCCTGACGCCAATTTAACATTTTTTACCCATACAATAAGTGTTCAACGCCGCTAAAGAAGTTTTCACGTGAAAAAAAAACAAAAAATTAAAGCAGCACGTTAATAATGATGATGTTCATAGACTTTTCTATCCGCTCAGCACGTTAAAAATGGTTTTCCATACACTTTCCAGCCCGCTTAGAAGTACAATAGTAATTTATTTAAATAAACAAATTCTACCCCTCAGCCACCCAGTACATTTCAGTACAGTGGGTTGCATCCACTGCAGCTAGCACTTCCCTGCTTGATATAGTTTGCATTTGAAGGATCGTCTACGGCGGTAATAAGATTGTCGGCGTCCTTATCGTTCAGTGGCAACGCAGTATGAATGAACCACAGAAACAGAGAGAGGTTAGGAGGGTGACCATAGACCGTTTGAATGGGAACCGAAGTTTTGGTCAAGTTGTGAGCATTTGCTCACACATACTGTGGCGCACCTGCCCCGCCCACTAGTCTCTTTCTGTGTTCTGTGGAATGAACTCGGGACCCTGTTACAGTACATAACGCGAGCACTGTGAGGCAGCATTCCCTCCACACGTGTTCCAAATCAGGTGGTTTAAATCACTCCTAAAGTTAATGAAGCCAGAAAGTGTAATGAATAATGCACATGCGTTTTGAAGCACAAAGCTTTTCAAATCACTGGCATGATAAATAAAAAAAATGATATAAAATGCAGTTTTGTATTAAGCTCTATAATTATGAACCAGAATGTTGAAAAGATGTTTTGTTGTCCTCCCAACACAAAATTACTACTGCTTTATGAATTAAAAGCGTTATATTAAATGTCATCTTCATTCTTCAACAGAACTTCAGCCGTGTCAAAATGCAAGTAACCATGTCGCTGTCGTCGCTAGTGGGGACTTCTGCCACGCTCAGCGAGGAAGCGCTGCGTCGAGCGCTTAAAGCGGTGCTTCTTTACGCAGAGAGAGACGCTGAACTAGCAGCCACCTCTTTCCCTGAGCAGGTAATCGTTAGCAGCTTATTATTGTTCTTATATTCATACCATAACCAGAACTTCAGTTCAGCTGCGTTGAAATGATACTTCAGCCACGCTCGGAGAGGAAGTGCTGCGTCGAGCGCTGAAAGCGGTGCTTCTATACGCAGAAAGGGTGCTGAATTAACAGCCACCTCCTTCTCTGAGCAGGTAATCATTAGCAGTGTATCATTGTCCTCATAATCATACCATAACAGAACTTCAGCTGCGTTGAAATGATACTTCAGCTACGCTCAGCGAGGCAGCGCTGCATCGAGCGCTGAAAGCGGTGCTTCTTTACGCAGAGATAGACGCTGAATTATCAGCCACCTCCTTCCCTAAGCAGGTAATCGTTAGCAGCATATTATCGTCCTCATATTCATACCATAACAGAACTTCAGCTGCGTTGAAATGATACTTCAGCAACGCTCAGAGAGAAAGCGCTGCGTCGAGCGCTGAAAGCGGTGCTTCTATACGCAGAAAGAGACGCTGAACTAGCAGCCACCTCCTTCCCTGAGCAGGTAATTGTTAGCAGCTTATTATTGTCCTCATATGAATATGAGGTGAAGTTCTGTTATGGTATGAATACCATAACAGAACTTCAGCTGCGTTAAAATGATACTTCGGCTACGCTCAGAGAGGAAGCGCTGCGTCGAGCGCTGAAAGCGGTGCTTCTTTACGCAGAAAGAGACGCTGAATTAGCAGCCACCTTTCCTGAGCAGGTCATCATTAGCAGCGTATTATTGTCCTCATATTCATACCATAACCACTGACCGTGACTTCAGCCACGTCAAATTGATACTTGGTAAAGACCTACAATTAGCTTTTTGTTATTATTTAAGTTTTAACTCTTCATATTAATAGCTGTTGGTATTCCAAAAACTAAATAACAAAAAATCTCGCGATCTGTTCTAACTCCGTTCAATTTATCCAAAATGACCTAACCCATTCTATTGCTATTTCTTCTTTCAAATGTTTAATACTTGAAAAAGTATTCATTGGACATTGTGGGTTACCTACAATGCGAAGAGATGGCGCTGCCTTGCAGCTTAAGGCTAGGAAAATTTCGACGCGGACAGTAGGGCCGTGGTAGCATAATGGTCAGTGCATTCGCCCGGATTGCGAAGGGTGCGGGTTCGAGTCCCGTCCGCTGCCTGGTCCGCGTGCATTTTTTTTCTAGTAAACTTTCTTTAGATTTAAACATCTAGCAGTTAAATGCTTAAAAATAAATAAAAACATAACCCATAGTTGTCTCAACTCTAGTATTATTTACTGAACTGGAAAGAAAATTTTACACCAGTCTATTTTTTCAAGCTGCATTAGCAACAATTAATCGTATCGTTTAACTGTCGGTGGTCAGGTGAAGGACTTGGTGTTCAACCTGCACATGATCCTGTCGGACACGGTGAAGATGAAGGAGCACCAGGAGGACCCGGAGATGTTGCTGGACCTCATGCACCGCATCGCTCGCGGCTACCAGCACAGCCCCGACCTGCGGCTGACCTGGCTCAACAACATGGCGCAAGGGCACATGGAGGTCAGTAGCCTAAAGCCAGAAACATATTAACGTGTCGTGTCATGGCGCGCCAGAAGCACATCGTTTTCATTCATTTACTATGGTTAGAGACATATTTAAGTATCGTGTCGTGTCGACGCTTTAACCTCTCTATCTCTCTCTAACCCATAATAAATGTATGAAACCGATGCGCCACGTCACGCCACGACACGTTAATATGTTTCTGGCTTTAGCTATGTAGGAAAGCCAAAGGGGAAGATCTTCCTCCGAACTGGGTGATGGTAGCTCGGGGGCCGCGGCCATACTGATGTTGGTCGGGCATCGTATATATCGAGTGTTAGCCTCCGAATTTCGCTTGCGCGATGTAGGCTTCCTTACTATTGTGATCGCAGTGCAGGTGGCGCCATCTCTTGAGGAGGCCAGTGATTATTTCCTCCATGTTAGTTATATGTGGGGCATATAGATGTTGATATTGAAAAGCTGAAGAAACCATAAACAGTTAACACATTTTCAACAGGTCGAATTTTATACGCATATAAAATCATAATAAAAAAGTGACACTAAAATGACCTTAATCTGTGGCTATTCCTAAACTTTGGACGCATTATAATACAACTAAATTAGAGGCACATGGAGGTAATTTCTTTTTTATAGCCAGGTAGGCAAATGACTCTACCCCACCTGATTTTAAGTGGTGATAAAGTCCAAACGCGAAGATAGCTGGTACAGCAGTTATAAACTGCCACACCAACCATCCTCACCGTGCCGGCCTGCAAAAATGCTTCCTCACGCCTCTCTTAAAGGACCCCAGATTGTAGGAAAGAGTGAACACGTGCGCGGGCAAAGAATTCCACTTTCGAAATCGTATATAATCGTACTATTACGACAAGAAAATGAGTCACCAAATTTCTTTGTTCGTGTAGGAATAGTGGCCACAGTAAGCCAATGCCTTTAACTATACTGTATTCAACTTCCTCTAAGACCAAAAGGTAAACAAACCGTAAACAGGTTTTTCAATAGTTCGAATTTTATACGCATATTAAATCATGATAAAAAAGTGACACCAAAAACACCTACTGTGGCTATTCCCAAACTTTGAACGCATTGTAATACTGCTAAATTAAAGGGTAGTGATAAACTAAATTATTTAATTATAATTCCTCGATATTTGAACTTTATTTTTAATGCTGATCTGATCTGATTTCTTTGTTTCTGGTGATGAATACAAACGCTATCTCTACATGCTTTGGATAAGTATAGGTAGCGGTAAACTACTACAGCTAAACTACAGACCATGGAGGTTAGAGAGAAGGAGAACGATCGCTGTAGAAAATAGTGTCCCAGAAATAGGGACAAAATAAGTGAGGCGCTGCGATCGCTAAGTTGTCTCAGTAAAAGCGGGCTGTTGTCCGCTAATTTGAAATGACCAATGCAGCAAAGAAAATTTGTACATTATTCAACTAACTCCATCTACTTGTACTCATAAACAGCTAACTTCACAGATGTTACTTACCGACGGCAGCGCGACTGGTGGCTGAAAAATGAACTATAAATTCTACAAATTTTCATTGACAGGCGGTCTAATACTTTAGCACGTAGCGATCGTTTTCTTTCTCTCTAACCTCCATGCTACAGACAAACAAACATGCGCAGTTTGACGTTTCTCTATGTAAAATTGCTACACTCTTCCATCTCTATGGTCGTTGCTCAAAAAGTTTGCCGGGTGTGTTTAGCAAGCGCAAATTAAGCCACTAGTGATCACTAAACGCCATCACTATTGGCTCAGTTAAACCACTAGACGCAGCCACCGATCGCCGCCGCTAGTGGCTTAGTGGCGGCCACTCGAACGCTTAAAATTGCGTCGATACAATACAAAATGTATGAAAAAACGCGACCGCAGCTTGTGGACGCGTTTAGAGGCCGCCACTAGTGGCTCAATGTGCGCTTGCTCTAAGTCTCTCTTTGATTGAATTTGGCGAATAGGGATGATGACTAATTTTTTTTTCTTCGTTTATCAGGTAGATTATCAAAAAGTATTGGACTCATATTTTTTCTTTTTTCACATAATATAAACATTGCAGAGATATATTGATTTGAAAAGTCGCATGACGTCACGTTTGAGTACACTTTTAAGTGAAAATTCACTAAAAAGTGACGTCACGAGCCCCTACTCCCAAACTTTGACGCACTATAACTTTGTCATTTTTTGGTTGATTGCCCAAAGAAAAAATACGTGCCATTATTTTTTGATAATCTAACTGACGGACTAAATAGAATTTCGTTTACTGTACCCCTTCATCACCCCTATTGACTTGTCAACTATTTGTACCCTTATATTTCGTTTACCAGCGTTCAAACCACGCGGAAGCAGGAATGTGCTTAGTCCACGGGGCGGCGCTAGTGGCCGAACAGATCAACGCTGGAGGACGCGGCGCTGCCTTACTGCAGCACGTGACTCATAACGCGCTAGACGAGAGCTGCCCAGATGCCCTGCATCATCATCTCACGCAGCATGAACTGCAGGTAATAACCACGGAGACAAGGAATGTGCTTAATCCACGGGGCGGCGCTAGTGGTCGAACAGATCAACGCTGGAGGACGCGGCGCTGCTTTACTGCAGCATCATCAGCCTATTAATGTCCCCACTGCTGGGGCACAGGCCTTCCCTATGGGTGGAATAGGGAGATTGGGCAAGGACCCACCACGCGGGCCCAGTGCGGATTGGCGTGTGCTAACGACTGCAGATGCAGCCCGGACCAACGGCGTAACGTGCCTTCCGAAGCACTTAGAAACTCGAGATAGAAGATTTTTGGTCACCCATCCAATGACCGACCACTGCGAAAGTTTCTTAAGTTCAACGATCTCAGCCGAACGCGCTAACTCGATCCATCGATCTCCTCTCTTGTCTCTGCAGTATATGACTCATAACGCGCTGGATGAGAGCTGCCCAGATGCCCTGCATCATCATCTCACGCAGCATGAACTGCAGGTAATAACCACGCCCAAGCCGGAATGTGGTAAGTCCACTGGTCGGTGGCCGAACAGTACCCCTAGCACGAACCAATATCGAATTTGAATAGTTTACGTGTCCGAAATGTCATTGTCATGCCTGCAATGGCAATTCACACATTGGAATTAATTAATTGGTGTGGGTGTTGGAAAATGTTTATTATTAATAGTTTTTTTCTCAACTAGAATGAAATACTCTATAACATATTTGTGGCTAGGCATTACTGGAGCACGCAGCCAGCGAACTCATGACCGCCGGAATGTACGAAACAGTGAACGAACTGTACAAGGCGCTGTTACCTATCGCTGAGCAGGCGCGCGACTACAAGAAACTTGCCAATATACACAGGTATATGTTAAAATATATCATATATAATCCTATTCTTAATACTACTAGCGCCAGTATCTCAATGCAGTTTGTTCCTATGTTAGTTGTCAATGTAATTTAAGTTGCTAATAAAACTTATTTATGGCAGCAGTAGTCTATGGCAACAGCTATCGTGTTTCTATTAGGTTATGTGCCCTTGCAAATTTTCCAAATTGTATAATATTCTTTATTTTATGGGGGCGAACCGAACTACCCTGTCCCAATCCTCTACTGGAATCTCTTAAGTTTCTTCTGTTTTAGACACAAACAACAAATTATTTAGAAATACTTATACATTTATTTATGGCTTGAGGTCACTAACTAACGCCGTATTCCCTATATTCTGTGTGACACAGTAAACTGCATGAGGCGTTCACTCGCATCGAACAGCTGCACGGCAAACGAGTGTTCGGTTCATACTTCCGCGTATCCTTCTACGGGGCTCGCTTCGGTGATCTCCATGCCGAAGAATATGTCTACAAGGAGCACGCCCTCACCAAGCTGCCGGAGATCTTCAGCCGGCTCGAGGTAACCATGGCAACCAATGATGCTGCGCTTATATCATTTTAACTAAACCAACTTAGCATTGAACAGAACTGGTCTTTCGGCTTCCACTTTATTTATTTATTTTATTCTTCATGCACATACTGTACAATGGCGGACTTAATGCCGTAGGCATTCTCTACCAGTCATAGGGTGTTGTGGAGATTTTAGTGGCAGGGTGCACAACTGAGGTGGAGATCACATTTAAAGAAATATCAATTTTACTCATAATAAATATAATAATATAACTAAACATATACATACACATACATACATACTTCATAAATACATACATGATGACAAACTACTTAACGAAACGCCTGTTCCAATAAAAAGGTTCGCAGCTTGGTTTTAAAGGAATGTTTGTTGGGGGACACTTTGATGACCACATACATCATTTGTTAACATAGATCATTTGTATGGGAACCGATGTCGCCGGCTCGCCCCCACTACACTTCCACCTAATAGATAATAGCCATATTATTTGTTTTTTTTTAAGCATGTAACTGATCAATGTTTAAATCTTAAGAAAATTGCCAATCAACTGACGCGGAATTAAACCATCGAACCAAGCAGCGTTCACACATGTGAGCAACGACGCAATCAGATACAAGTTTTGGTCAAGTTATGAGCATTTGCTCACACATAACTGTCCACAGGAACCTCCTTACCTGTTTCTATGTTATGTGATGCTGACCATTCACACTTCTACCGCCGAACCTGATGAAGACCCCGAGTATTTATTGCCTTGCAATACTGGAGGTGCGAATATTACAAACTCCAGCTATCTTCACGTCTGGACTTCACCGTCACTTAACATTAGGTGGGGTGGAGTCATTGTCGGACCTATCTAAAAAAAATACTTTATATGTCGATCGTTAGTTATAGCTGGGCGGCATACATTGAAATATAAGAAAAACTTCTGTACTTTTGTTTTATTCAAGGAAAATCTACTATTGATAAGAAGACTGTTTTGGTTTCAAAATAGACTTGAAGTATTATTTGAATTCTATGACCTAAAATTGCACGTCGCTATTGACATAAGAACAATATTTTTAAATTTAGTACTAATTTATACGAAACGTCGTCGTATACGGTACGTCAAAACGGCCATCATAGCGTGCCATGCTTATTGTATTTTTCTTAAGTAACATATTGGTGTCAATTCTGGCATAACTCTCTAAACTTAAAACTGAAATATACAATACACCGTTGTCAAATTTAAGTTAAGATCTAGAGAATCGAGGTCATAGGTTTTTTTTTTGAAGTTATACTTCTTTAGGCGCGTTATGAAAAAATGATGAGAGTGAAATTTTAAGATGCGCGCGCATCACTGTAACACAAAATTTTAACTGTTACTTTTGTGTTTACCGCACATTAAGAAAATCTACCAACAAAATAGAAATAGAATATTACTATTTAGTGGGTGCTAACAACGGCATTGTGAAGGCCTATCAAAAGTATTTATTAATCTGGAACAACGGAACCAAAGCGCGATTCAGGAGACTACAGCGCCATCTCTTGACCATTGGTGTAGTAGAACCAAAAACCACATCTTTATTTTTTGTAATAAAGTAACAGTTATAGGTATTCATATTTATAATATTTATCCACATGTTTCTAGTTTGTATATTCGGAATACGTGTTTGAGTTTCATACAAGTGCAAATCACATTTGTTCTAATAAATTACATTCAGTAGCGATTTTAATTGAATATTTTGATTATTTATTTATTTTTTCAAATTAAAACTGAACTTTATTGACTGTGTCCTTTTCCAGACTTTTTATTAATTTATTGTAATTAATTATTTGCATGCAATTAAAAACTAATTTTAAACGATGCCAAAGAAGGATAACTTCTCACGCGCCTACATAAGTACACGCACCCATTTTTTATTATATTACACAGAACTTCTACGGCGCCCGCTTCGGCCCTGAGAACGTGGTGATAATCAAGGACTCGAATACCGTGGACCCCGCGACCCTGGACCCCGACAAGGCCTACATCCAGATCACGTACGTGGAGCCCTATCTGGAGCCCCACGAACTGCGGCGGAGGCCCACGCACTACGAGCGGAACTATAACATCAGTACGTATATACACACGCATAGAATTAATCTTCCTTTTTAGTTAAGTTAGAGGTCATCCATAACCTACGTCACACTAATTTCGTGATTTTTTATTGAAATTCATTTCTTTGTTTGTTGAAATGACATTATAAAAAAAATAGTTTGAACATTGTTTGGACAAGAGCAACATTTTACGAATAATATTTTCATAACGAAAAAAATAACAAGTTTGGCCCTGGAGCAAAGGGTTGAAATAATATTTCCCTTCGAAGATGCACAAGTATTAGTGATATATCACGAGAACTCAATATATCGCGATTCACTGTGAGGTTTTGGATCCAGCGTCAGGACGAAGAAGGGCACTTAACAGATCATAGAAATAATTGAGGACGACGACCAATTCTAACCGCCGCGCCGATCAAATAACAGAAATGATTTGTCGTTATGAAGAGAACGGCTTCACACCAACTAGTTATTTTGCTGTTTTATATGATGCGAGTGATCGGACGATCCGAAGAGCTTTGCACAGTGCTGGACTATACTACAGACACCATGCTATTAAAGTGGAGCTGAAACCACACCACAAAACAGCCCGGCTGAACTTTGCGCGACATCATGATATTTTGCTTGGTCGAATACTATATTTACCGATGAGAAAACCTTTAAATGAAATAAATTAAGCCAAATCGGAAGATTAACTTTATGGCGCTATAATCGAACTCGGTATGATGAAGCACATATCGTGCCTCAAAACGTGTCAGGTCGCATAACAGTAAACTTATGGGGATGTATGAGCCTCGACGGTCACACAATGTCACACTTGATCAACCCCCTCCCTCTTAATAGGGAGGGAGGGACGTGTGACGTACTTTATGGATGCCCTCTTACCGGAATATGATGGTAGAATGTCGAATGAAAGAAACGTAAAATAAGTAAATAAAAGTTAAATAAGTAGCTGAAGAAATCTTTATATATATAATTCTTCTGTGAGTGTGTATGTCACTGAACTTCTCTTAAACGACTGGACCGATTTTGATGAAATTTTTTGTGTGTGTTCAAGGGGATCTGAGAATGGTTTAGATTCACAATTTTGTCCGCTGGACAACCCCTATTTTTTTAGGGCGGTACGAAGTTCGCTGGGTCAGCTAGTAGTATTATAAAATCAGAAACAGCAATGTTCTGCCGTACTACATTTTTGTAATTTAAGGAATTTTAAATCTCGCTTTCCCTAATGCCCACACACAAATCGTATATACACACAATAACAATAAACGACTCTAACGTTGTGGACACAAGGCGCACAAAAATGAATCGCTTTTGATTATCTTAAGTGTTATTCTGCCTTAAACAATTTGATAGTACATATATTGTTTTAAACTTTCATGGTCACTAACATGATAGCTACTAACGGGATTGTTACCATGTACCTTGTATTTTATGAGTCTCCGATAATCCGCTGTTGCAAGTGCCATGATCACGGAGTAACTCCGTATAATAATGTGATAATAAATAGGGGTGATGACGGGGTACAGTAAACGAAATTCTATTTAGTCCATCAGTTAGATGATCAAAAAATAATGGACACGTATTTTTTCTTTAGGCAATCAACCAAAAAATGACAAAGTTATAGCGCGTCAAAGTTTGGGAGTAGGCGCTCGTGACGTCACTTTTTAGTGAATTTTCACTTAAAAGTGTACTCAAAAGTGACGTCATGCGACTTTTCAAATCAATATATCTCTGCAATGTTTATATTATGTGAAAAAAGAAAAAATACGTGTCCAATACTTTTTGATAATCTACCTGATAAACGAAGAAAAAAAAATGTGTGCGTGTACTAGTGTACACACGTAAGAAGTGATACTTCTTTATGGCCTTATTTTTTTCGAAAAATGATCTACATGCAACTTTCCAGAAATATATATATAGGCGTGCGCTAAGATTTTTCAAAAACTCACCCACTAAAGGGGTATAACTACACACCTTACCTTACCTTACCTTACCTTACCTTACCTTACCTTACCTTACCTTACCAAAATCAAAAATACACTCAAAGAACAGCTTCAAGCTTATATCTCCTTGCCAACACAGTCCCGACTATACGCTTCAATAGTCAAAACCCCAAACATCGTCACACAACCACCTACACCCCCACGCAAAACTAGACCCTCAATAATAGTAACCGCCAACAAACAAGTCAAAAGTCCCACCGAAACGTTACAACTCTGGAGGCAATCTATTTCATTTACAGACACCAACTTTACTCCATCTCAGGTTAAATTTGTCTCGAATAACAAACTAAGGGTAGAGTTTGACTCCGAAGAGCAAAGGAAAACTACAATGGATAAAATCAACCGGTCAACCAATAAACTTATCAGAGCAGAAGAAGCCAGACTCCTGCAGCCTATGATAATAATAAAAGGCATCGCCAATCAAGTAACAACTGAAGAATTAAGCTCCATAATAATTAAACAAAACTCACTCATATCAGAAGTCACTGATAACACTGCAGATTTAGTTTTCAAATTCAAGAGGAACAATAGAAACAAACACCTGTACAACGCCGTTTTAATGACCACTCCAGCACTATGGAAAGTATTTACAAAAACAGAAAGAATTAATCTGGATCATCAAAGACTAATTGTCGAAGACTATGTCCCACTGATGCAGTGCTACGGTTGCCTGCAATATGGGCACACTCGTAAACACTGCACCAATGGCAAACTGGCTTGCTCACACTGCTCATCCACACAACACACATATAATGATTGCCCCAATAAAAACAACAACGATAAAAACTGCTGCATAAACTGTCACGCTCACAACAATAAATACAAACTCAATCTACCAACCAGTCACTCAGCTACGTCTTTTAACTGTCCCAGAAAACAAGCTATGATCAGTAACATACGAAATAAAATTAACTATGGCTAATAACATAACATCACACAGTACATTAAACAACAACAACACTAACCAACTGAACTGTTTACAAATTAACCTAGGACGCGGCAGAAATGCTCATCAAGAACTCCTTTCTCATAATAAAGATAACACATTAGATATAATTTTCATTACAGAACCATTTACAGGGAATGGAACAATCATTAAAAGCATTCAGGATTACACTATATTTCAAACACCAAAAAATAATAACAAGGTTAAATCAGCAATAGTCATTAAGAACAATAAATTTAGCGCGATTAGCATGAACCCATACTCCGACCCAAACATATCCATCGTTCAACTTAGAGATTCTACTGGCAAAAAAATGTTCTTAATATCAGTCTATATTGAACCCAAGCTCGACCCTAATAAAACATTATCTAAACTCAAATCATTCCTTTCAGACTTTCCTAGTTCCACACACATTATTACAGGAGATTTTAACGCTTGGCACAAAACATGGGGATCAGAACGAAATAGCAGCCGAGGAGAAGAAGTGTCACAAATGATTTTAGACTATAATCTTAATATATGTAACTCTGGTAATGAACCCACATACTTCAATACCATAAATAACACCACTCGAAGCTCAATCATAGACATCACCCTTATTTCTGATAGCTACAATACTACAATAGATAATTGGAAAGTTAACCCGGAAATAATAACCGAGTCGGATCACAATGCAATTACTTTTGAAATAAAATTAGGTCGAACAAAACTAACTAGGTCATGCAAAACGTCTACATGGAAATATAATATCAACCCTAATATATGGAAAACTAGAATTACCGAATTTCATTATGAACTTGATAAATATTTCAATCCCTTAGAAGCACCGAACATACTGAATATGGATGAAATACAACTAGAGCACTACATCATTCAAACTACAAGCAATATACAAAAAGCATGCAATAGCTACTTACCCCGATCCACAGGCCCGCCACGACGTCCGCCCTGGTGGAGTGCCACACTGGATGATCTGAAACAAAAAGTCATAATTAACCATAGAAAACTAAGTAAAGCCGTTCGCAAGAAACTACTACTCACTGAACTAATAACAGAAAAAGCACAACTAAAAAAGGAATACGCTGAAGCAATCCAGAATGCATCTACAACACACTTCCGACAATTTTGTAATAAGCAAGACAAAGAAAACGTTTGGTCTATTACTAACAGGATTATTAAAACAAAACCACTATCACAACCCCCAGCTACGCTTAAAAATGACTCTGGAATCTACACCACAAGTGCTGAGGAAACAGCTGAATTATTAATAACGAAACTTTTTCCGCAAGATACTCCTGACAACACAAAACAAACATCAATCCGAAATTTCACGCGACTACCCCCGAACACCGATGCAGACCCTGAATTCACTACTATGGAAATTACAGAAACCTTAAGAACAATGAACGCTAATAAAGCTCCCGGACACGACCATCTTACAGCTGACATATGTCTACATTTCAGTAAATATTGCCCAAACATAATTACTAACATAATGAATAGGTGCCTTCAGCTTCAATACTTTCCCAAAACTTGGAAAATAGCAGTCACTAAAATAATAACCAAGCCTGGAAAAGAAAGTTATGAGGATCTAGCGTCTTACCGACCCATAGGATTAATTCCTGTCTTCGGCAAGCTGCTGGAAAAACTCATTACCAATCGCTTAGTTCACCACATCTACAGAAACAATCTCAACATAGAAACCCAATTTGGATTCAAACTTCAGACTTCCACTTGTCATGCTCTACATCAAGCTATTAGCATTATCGAGACCGGGAAAGAGAACAAACAACAAGTAGCGGCGGTTTCACTTGACATCAAAGCTGCTTTTGATAACGCTTGGTGGCCATCAATGTTCCGAAGACTAAAACACATGCGCTGTCCTAATAATATATATAGAATTCTTCAAAATTACATGGAAGACCGGAAAGTTATCATTAGGTTCGCAGACAGTGAAGTATGCCGTTCTATGACCCGCGGATGCATCCAGGGATCTGTCTGTGGGCCTATACTATGGAATTTAATTTTAGACGATTTACTCACCACTTCCCTCCCTGCCGGCAGTCACTTACAAGCTTATGCTGACGACTTGCTTCTGATTGCAACAGCCAGAAGCACATATGAACTTCAGGATAAATTAAATACCGCACTTCAAATCTTTCACGACTGGGGGCAAACAAATAAATTAAACTTCAATCCCAATAAAACAACCGCAATAGGATTCACATCACAAGCAAGAAAAATCAGACTCACCATGAACCACACACACATTCCATTCCACAACCAAATAAAATACCTTGGTATTATTATCGATCAAAAACTAACATTCACAAATCACATACACAACACAATAAACAAAGCCAAATCTATATATAATAAGTTGAAAATGTTTGTCCGCCCCACCTGGGGAGTACACTCCGAAAATATAAGAACCATATACTTACAAGTCATCGAGCCTATTATAACCTACGGGTGCAGTGTATGGCACATAGTACTAAAAAACAAATACATATGCAAAAAATTAATATCGCTCCAAAGATCATTCTGTTTAAATATTAATCGTAGCTTCAAGACCGCCAACACCGCGATTTCAATTGTCCTTGCCGACCTTCCACCACTAACCGATAAAATACTTTCAATAGCAGAAATCGAAAAAGTTAAATCATGTACAACCACACAATATCTCCCAGAAGAAATAACGCTTGATACATTAGCCAACCCTTCTACACTACTTCACCCCTCTCTCCGTAACCCCATATCATTTAGCTCTGCGAATTCTCAGGAGGAACTCGACAGCATTCTATGTAACACAGCCACAATCGATTTACATATTTACACCGATGGCAGCAAACAGGACGATGATGTCGGCGCTGCCGTTGTCATTCAAGCACCTGACGGCCATGTGAGTAAAATGAAATATAAACTTCACCACTCCTGTTCTGTCTATCAGGCAGAGCAACTAGCTATCCTTAAAGCCTGCGAATTCATTGAAACTCAAGATTCATCCGCCTTTATCATCTCCGACAGCTTATCATCACTCATAGAACTACAGAACCCATCTAGTTACAATAGATTAACAGTCCAAACTTTTCAGCATATCCACAATATTGAGAGCGGAGGCAGATACGTAAGCTTTATATGGGTTAAGGCTCATGTAGGGATATTCGGTAACGAGTTAGCCGACCAAACAGCTAAGAAAGCAGCCCTCTCAAATATGCAACCTTCGTTTAAAAATTTCCCAATCAGTTACATCAAACAAATTAAACACAAAGAACTTGCAATAGCAAAACAAAAACTCTACGAAGAACCGCAAAATTGTATATACACAAAGAAGCTTTTCCCATCCTACTCAAATCTAACTTCTTTCCTTGCCAAAATCCCCGTCTCATTCCAAACAACCCAACTTCTAACCGGCCACGGATATAATAAACAGTACCTGCACCGATTCCATATAACACCAGATCCTTTCTGTCCTTGCGACAATACCAGCCCTCAAACCTTTGAACACCTACTTTACCTTTGCCCGAGATTCCAGTCCACCAGGACTGATCTTAATATTTTATGCAGTATGCACAATCTAAATATTAAAAACCTCAACGACATAGCTACAAAAAATGACACTAGTGAACTATTTTTAAAGCACCTATTCTACATTATTAAAAACCTCAAAAAATTCAATAACACGTAAACTAAGCCATATCAGAAAAACATAAACTCATATTATTAAAATCATAAAACACACTTAGTAAAACCCTAAATACTAATAACTAATACTATTTACTAAAACACATATATAACGAAAACTGAAATCAAGCTTAATACCAAAGGCGCAGTCCGTAAGCGCCCGCGGTATATTAGCATCTTCTTAAGCTAATCTCATATCAACCTTACCTTACCTTACCTTACCTTACCTTACCTTACCTTACCTTACCTTACCTTACCTTACCTTACCTTACGTTGTGTGAAACACGAATATTTGCTGTCGATACTTTTTTTTTTTAAAGTTGACAGAAGAAGCAATTGTTCGGATGAGGTAAATAGTGCTCTTTTAAAAAAAAGATAGCGCGTAACCAAAAAACGTGACGCGTAACCGAAAAAAATGTGACGGTAATTTTTTTTCCAACGCCGATAAAGAAGTTTCACTTCAAAAAATTAGTCATCATCCCTATTGTAACTGGATTAAAAATTCTAATATAAATCGTCCATAGAGCGATTCATGTACGCCACTCCGTTCACGGCGAGCGGCCGAGCGCACGGCGACATCGCCGAGCAGTGCAAGCGGAAGACTATCCTTACTACGGCACACCACTTCCCATACGTCAAGACCCGGATACAGGTAATATACCGACGAAACAGATAATGTTGTCATTGACGAGCAGTGCAAGCGGAAGACTATCCTTACTACGGCACACCACTTCCCACACGTCAAGACCCGGATACAGGTAATATACCGACGAAACAGATAATGTTGTCATTGACGAGCAGTGCAAGCGGAAGACTATCCTTACTACGGCACACCACTTCCCATACGTCAAGACCCGGATACAGGTAATATACCGACGATACAGATAATGTTGTCATTGACGAGCAGTGCAAGCGGAAGACTATCCTTACTACGGCACACCACTTCCCATACGTCAAGACCCGGATACAGGTAATATACCGACGATACAGATATTGTTGTCATTGACGAGCAGTGCAAGCGGAAGACTATCCTTACTACGGCACACCACTTCCCATACGTCAAGACCCGGATACAGGTAATATACCGACGATATAGATAATGTTGTCATTGACGAGCAGTGCAAGCGGAAGACTATCCTTACTACGGCACACCACTTCCCATACGTCAAGACCCGGATACAGGTAATATACCGACGATACAGATAATGTTGTCATTGACGGGCAGTGCAAGCGGAAGACTATCCTTACTACGGCACACCACTTCCCATACGTCAAGACCCGGATACAGGTAATATACCGACGATACAGATAATGTTGTCATTGACGAGCAGTGCAAGCGGAAGACTATCCTTACTACGGCACACCACTTCCCATACGTCAAGACCCGGATACAGGTAATATACCGACGATACAGATAATGTTGTCATTGACGAGCAGTGCAAGCGGAAGACTATCCTTACTACGGCACACCACTTCCCATACGTCAAGACCCGGATACAGGTAATATACCGACGATACAGATAATGTTGTCATTGACGAGCAGTGCAAGCGGAAGACTATCCTTACTACGGCACACCACTTCCCATACGTCAAGACCCGGATACAGGTAATATACCGACGATACAGATAATGTTGTCATTGACGAGCAGTGCAAGCGGAAGACTATCCTTACTACGGCACACCACTTCCCATACGTCAAGACCCGGATACAGGTAATATACCGACGATACAGATATTGTTGTCATTGACGAGCAGTGCAAGCGGAAGACTATCCTTACTACGGCACACCACTTCCCATACGTCAAGACCCGCATACAGGTAATATACCGACGATACAGATAATGTTGTCATTAACGAGCAGTACAAGCGGAAGACTATCCTTACTACGGCACACCACTTCCCATACGTCAAGACCCGGATACAGGTAATATACCGACGATACAGATAATGTTGTCATTAACGAGCAGTGCAAGCGGAAGACTATCCTTACTACGGCACACCACTTCCCATACGTCTAGACCCGGATACAGGTAATATACCGACGATACAGATAATGTTGTCATTGACGAGCAGTGCAAGCGGAAGACTATCCTTACTACGGCACACCACTTCCCATACGTCAAGACCCGGATATTGGTATCACAAATTATGCATGCCTTTAAATATAATAAGAATGTAATAAAATAAGAAATAATTTAAATCAATGGTTCCCAACCAGTGGCCCGCGGACCACTTGTGGGCCCTGGAAGCACCCGAAGAGTTTCCGAAGTCATTATTAAAAATAATTACATAAATAAGAACGCCCGAGTATTATTCCCGCCATACGGTCACGAGATAAAGCAGTAGTGGGTCACTAAATAGCTCGGTGCTTATAACTTCCATCTGTCAAAAGGAGATAGCGAATAGGCGTTCTGTACTAATATTGCCTCACCCCGTTAGTAAATGGTATCAGAATACAGGAAGCAAATTTTCATAATTTATATTTCTAAGCATGAAACTGATCAATTTTAAAATCTAAAGAAAATATTACTAGACATAATTTCGCGTGAACCAGGCAGCAGACGGGACTCGAACCAGCATCCTTCGCTATCCGGGCGAATGCACTGACCAAATTTGTCAGTTTGGCAGAAAGCAAAGTACAAGACATTATTTTTATTATAGCTTTTGACGGAATTGTTACCATTTACCTTGTTTTTTATGAGTCTCCGATATTTCGGCACTGTTGCAAGCGCCATGATCACGGAGTGACCGATATATCGGAGACTCATAAAAAACAAGGTAAATGGTAACAACACCCTTAACAACTATAATGTTAGTGACCATGAAAGTTTAAAACAATATATTATTTTTATTATTGTAGGTTGTGCAGCGGACGCAAATCATTCTGTCGCCGATAGAAGTCGCCATTGAAGATATACAAAAGAAGGTTAGTGACGCTGTCATTAAATTATAACTTAAAATGTTAAAAATAAGAGTCATTGAGTGACATTTATATAGAAAATATAAGAATGCAAACTTAAGAGCTGTGGCGGCGACATCTACATGCCCCACATATAATCAACATGGTGGAAATAGTCACTCGCCACCTCAAGAGATGGCGCTATGAGCGCTGCGTTCACAACGTATGGAAGCCTACATCGCGCAAGAGAAATTTGGAGGCTACCGCTCGATATATACAATGCCGGGCCGCGGCCCTCAAGCTACCATCATCCAGCTCGGAGAAAGATCTTCCCCTTTGCCTTCCTACAGATATGTTCTGTGTCGATTTAAATTGTAGGCGATGTTATTTGTTGGCGGTTAGGTACAGAGTGATGTCGCTCAAGTTGCTCTAAAATCTATTTCATGTGTTACTGAAATTTGCATGAAATTCAATATTATGCATGTATCTTTTCTTCTTGTCAGCTAATGGTGATATCCTGATAGGTGGCAGGAAAAACATTTATTAAAGGAAGTTTCCTACAAGTAGATCTGAATAAAAGTAATTTTATTTTAATTGAATATTCTGTGTATTTCTTTCAATAGGCTCAATATAAGTCTTTCGAAGGTAGCTCGACAATTTTAAATAAAAAAATCATTATTCTGACGATGCAGACCTGAAAAGGCTGCGAAACGTCAATAAATAAATAAAGTTTCGTGCATTAACCCGTAAAAACTAGTTTTAGTTTTATTTCTTTCAACTCTCGCAATGGCTATTCATTGGATGGGTGACCAAAAATGTCTTATCTCGAGATGCTCCGTGCTTTGGAAGGCACGTTTATAGCCCAATTTCCCTTTACCATCCGTAGGGCAAGCCTGTGCCGCAGCAGTGGTGACATTAGTAGACAATGATGCCTTGTTACAAAACATTGATTTAAGTTGTAGTAGTTTAAAACTTATGCTATCACTCAGTTTAAACCATGAGTAACTTTTATTCCGCATGTTGGAATAAGGCGGCAAATTTTATAGTGCAAAAGAAAGCTGTACCCCTAGCACGAACCAATATCGAATTCGTATCGTTTGCGAGTCCGAAATGTCATTGTCAAATGTGTACTGATTTTTAGTTCTCGTTACGTACTTTGTGCCGCTGCTGTTCAAGTTTCCATACAAAATTCGACATTGACATTTCGGTTTGCAAACTGTTCGAATTCGAAAATGGTTCGTGCTAGGGGTACTGATCGCACATAATACAACTTCAATGCAAGAGATTCTCTTAGAGAAAAATTTAAAGAAATTAATATTTTATTTATTTATTCAAAATACATTACACCATTATAACAGGTATATACCTAATTCAATAGTGTAGTCGTCCTTTCAAACTAACAATAAATTCTTATAAAATTTCATTAATTATTAACAATATTATTTCAATGTTGTAAACTATATAAAAATGTCAATAAATGTCATTAAAAATAAATAAAAGAAAAAACAATGTCAATGTAAGCAAATGTCAATTAAAAATCTATAAAAATAAAAATAACTTCAATTTAGGATGCATTACCAATACGATTACAAATATTGTCAATAAAATTTGTCCATAAAATCTAAAATGAATAATACATTTCTCAAAATAAATAAAAATATATTCCAGTAAAAAGTCAATAATGTTATTTATAGCACAACACTTTTAAAGTTACTTTCGTAAACTCGCCAATCGAACAGGTGAACAAATCGAACACACGATTAACACTGACATCGCAATACATTTATGAAAATATAAAATACGTAAGAAAAACCTACGTATGCATTTGTAAAAAAAGTCAAACCCATAACTTTAACACGAGATTTAAGAACAATCTGGCCGCTCCTTGTTTTAGACTCCGAAAATCAAGAGTTTCATGTCTGGGTTGTCCCCAAGATCTGATAAGGCTTCCTCTGACCAAATTTAAATGTCAGACCAAAAATGCTGTTATGAGTAAGCACTATTATAAAGTTGATGATTGTCTTAATGATCGTAATGCATGGACATAGTGTTTCTTGTAATGTAATGGAATTCGATATTTTTCATAACAATAATGTGGTATCTGAAGCCGCTTCCTATATGCCTACTAAAAATGTAATTAAATTAATTGGCAAAATTATCTCTGAAGTCATTTTTCAACATGACGACTCTATTTATAACAATACAGGGAGAAAAAAACAGCCCTTGCTGAGTTTCTTGCCGGTTCTTCTCAGTGCAATATCTCCCGCGGTAGTTATGCGAACTGATGGCGTAGCTTCTCGACTTTCTTGACCACCTCGACACCGACTCTCGACCTTGACGACCTCTGTGCCGAGTGGTTTATACGCCGTGTTTCATGGTGTCGCCGGTTCAAGAGGTCCCGGGTTCGAATCCTGATGGGGGCATATATTTGTGTGGTGAAGACGAGCATTTGTACTCCAGTCATGGATGTTAAATATGTATTTCTATACAAATATACTTTAATATGTAGAGTGTACGTATTTTATCCGTTACCCTAGTATCCCATAGCACAAGCCTACAGTGCTTACTTTGGGGCTAGGCTAATTGGTGTGAGTGTTGGAAATATTTTTTATTTATTTATTAGCTCACAAAACAAGTTACAATTATAAAAAAAACCAAAGCAATTACAATAATACAAAACCAAACTGTAACTCTAAATATGTGGGCATAACATGACCAAACTTTTATGGGCTGAAGTTTACACTAAAGAAAGAAAAATATATAAATTGAATTTCAACAATTATCAAACAAAAAAAAAGTCACTTAAATAAAATACAAATAAAAATTAACCGATTTTTCTTTAACGAAGTATTAATCGTTGGACTTCCTTCCGAAATTCAAGAAGCCGACTACAAAAGATGTCCAAGGAAGAATGATCCCCATGCAGGTTATCGTATTGACGACACATATTTGTGACTGGATTATAAAAGGACGTGTTGTTGCAGAGCAAATACCCTATGGGTGAGATTACGCGATCTAAATCTAATATTAAAACTAAGCGTTGAGGTAAGAAACGGTGAGTCGAGGAGTGAGTGTACAATTTTATATAGGTAAATTAACTGGTGATATTTGCGCCGGGATTCTAGGGAAGAAATATTTATTATTCTAAAGAAAATATAACTAGAAAAAATTCCACGCGGACCAGGCAGCAGACGGGACTCGAACCCGCACCCTTCGCAATCCGGGCGAATGCACTGACCAATTATGCTACCGCGGCCCTCACGGACCGCGTCGAAATTCTTTCTAGCTATTCTTAAGCTGCAAGGCAGCGCTTCTTGAAGGGTGCGGGTTCGAGTCCCGTCTGCTGCCTGGTCCGCGTGGAATTTTTTCTAGTTATATTTTCTTTAGATTTAAACATCAAGCAGTTACATGCTTTAAAAATAATAAAAATTATAATATTTATTATTTATTTCACAAATGCTTGTAACAGCCTAGATTGAATAAATTATATTTGATTTGAAATGATGTTTTATGTCAGATCAACGAGCTGGCAGCGGCGACGAGCCAGGAGCCTGCGGACCCTAAAATGCTGCAGATGGTGGTGCAGGGCTGCATCGGCACCACCGTCAACCAGGGCCCGCTCGAACTGGCGCAGGTATACATTGTTATAGCAGGTATATATAGTGTTCAACGTGCTGATTTAAAATGCTATGTTATTCAGGAATATATCATCATCATCATTATCAGCCTATTAATGTCCCCACTGCTGGGGCACAGGCCGTCCCTATGGATGGAATAGGGAGATTGGGCCATAACCCACCACGCGGGCCCAGTGCGGATTGGTGGGTGCTAACGACTGCAGATGCAGCCGGGACCAACGGCTTAACGTGCCTTCCGAAGCACGGAGGAGCTCGAGATAGTAAATTTTCGGTCACCCATCCAATGACCGACCACTGCGAAAGTTGCTTAATTTCAACGATCGCAGCCGAACGCGCTAACCACATGCGCCATCGAGCTCCTCAAGGAGCTCTCAGGAATATATAATCCTTATAATTAACCCTTTCGACAGTTATCACAAAATACGTCAATTGTCTTTTTGATGTGTAACATCTTTCCTCTCGCTTTCGTGCAATTTGTGGGAGTGATTACGTGACGTGGGACGGAAGTGTGTAACAGGAAGTTTGGGAAGCGCGCGCTATTTGATTTGATTTTAGAACATAATGTTCAAATGGCTTATTCTTTTTGTAGTAGGGTTCATTTCTTTTTTTACTTGAGGTTTCAAATGTTACGCGACTACTGTAAGGCACTTTTTCAAACTTCACGAGTTTGATTCTCTGATACAGCAGACGATTTAAAAAAACTATGAATGCAGTTCTATTTATTATTAAAAATAAAATGATGTCTTCTTTCAGTAAAATATCCTATCTTCAATATTTAATATACTTTCCCTCCGTGTGACAAACCCTTGGGACGCCCTGTATACCACTGCGGAATAGATTGCACCTCTTTCACTGTCCATAATATGATTGATTTGAGAATGTCATAACTTCTTTACTTTCGCTTAACTTCGGAACTAAATGACCTACAGAATTGAAATTTTGGATTTTAAGTGTGTTATTATAGCTTACTGGATGACGAAAATTTCAGCGTTCTGGTCTTATCCAGAGTTTCTCAAATAGGGGCCTGAAAATGCGGCGAAATGGTTCCAGTAAAGTATGGTACGGCAGTGTTTGCTTCGCGCTCGACTTGGCGGGGGCACTGCCGTGCCCCCCGATACTTTGTCTTAAAATCTTTTTAAATAATAAAAAAATGATGCGCAAAACAATCAACAATCGCTAAACATACATGGGAACAAAATATATCGCGGAGCTCGTCTGGACTAGGTAAATAAACGCTGTTATTAACATTTTGTATGTCTGTCTGTCGTTCAGGTATTCCTAGCTCCAGTAGCAGAAGGCACGCAGCCACCCACCCGCCTCACCAACAAGCTGCGGCTCGCCTTCAAGGACTTCTCCAAGAAGTAAGCCCAGAACCCACCATACATTACATAACCATACATTCACAATACACTCCCATCCGCCTCGCCAACAAGCTGTAGCTCGCCTTCAAGGACTTCTCTAAGAAGTAAGCTCAGAACCCACCATACATTACGTAACCATACATTCACAATACACATCCACCCGCCTCACCAACAAGCTGCGGCTCGCCTTCAAGGACTTCTCCAAGAAGTAAGCCCAGAACCCACCATACATTACATAACCACACATTCATAATACACACCCACCCGCCTCACCAACAAGCTGTAGCTCGCCTTCAAGGACTTCTCCAAGAAGTAAGCCCAGAACCCACCATACATTACATAACCATACATTCACAATACACTCCCACCCGCCTCGCCAACAAGCTGTAGCTCGCCTTCAAGGACTTCTCTAAGAAGTAAGCTCAGAACCCACCATACATTTCGTAACCATACATTCACAATTCACACCCACCCGCCTCACCAACAAGCTGCGGCTCGCCTTCAAGGACTTCTCCAAGAAGTAAGCCCAGAACCCACCATACATTACATAACCACACATTCATAATACACACCCACCCGCCTCACCAACAAGCTGCGGCTCGCCTTCAAGGACTTCTCTAAGAAGTAAGCTCAGAACCCACCATACATTACGTAACCATACATTCACAATACACATCCACCCGCCTCACCAACAAGCTGCGGCTCGCCTTCAAGGACTTCTCCAAGAAGTAAGCCCAGAACCCACCATACATTACATAACCACACATTCATAATACACACCCACCCGCCTCACCAACAAGCTGTAGCTCGACTTCAAGGACTTCTCCAAGAAGTAAGCCCAGAACCCACTATACATTACATAATCATGCATTCTTAATACAAATTGAGGTTTAAGACTAATTGTCTAACTTTTATTACTCTTTTCGTGAACCCTTTTATTAGATTTTTGTGAAAGAGATCAGCATTATTTCACACTACCAGATCTCATCTCAATTGGTTCAGCGGTTAAAGCGTGAAGAGGTAACAGACAGACATACTACTTATGGCTACTTGCACGTAAATCTTGAGATAACAAAATAACTTCGAGTTTACTAACTTAAGGATATAGTTAAAACTAGACATTTTTCAGTAACACTATCAAAACAGTTGGATTCTGTCCGCATGCAGTTTAATTTCCCCTCTTTCTAATCCTTGAAATAGTTAAGAAAATGAAAATAGTCACGCTTCTACAGTCTTTTTCCTGTTAAGATAAATCTGTACCTACACACCCCGGCAAACATCTTGAGCAACGACCATAAATAGACAAGGAAGCTCGCGCATGCGCAAGTTTATTTGTCTCTGCTTTTGCTCAAAAAGTTTCCCGCTACCTATGCTCTTATTGATTGACATATTGAAATAACAATGCTTTTGAAAACAATTCGCTTCAGAAAGCATGACGTTTTACCGTAAATAACATCTGTACCAGATGCCACGACGCATTGAAGAAGAACAAGAACCTTATAGGCAGCGACCAGCGCGAGTACCAGCGAGAGCTGGAGCGTAACTTTACGCGTTTCACCGAGAGGCTGCAGCCGCTTATACAGCCCTCCCCGGGACACGTCGCCATGCTCAGGTAAGGCCGCGGCTCCACTGCCAGCGGGCACATCCATCCATTCGCCCGGATAGGAAGGGTGTGAGTTCGAGTCCCGTCTGATGTTTGGTCCGCGTGAAATTTTTAGCTGTGATAACTTCTTCTTCTTCAACCTTTATCCACCCACTGCTGGGTATAGGTCTCCTCCATGGTGCGCCAATTTGCTCGGTGTTGTGCGATCCGGATCCAATTTCGTCCTGCTACTCTTGTGATGTCATCGGACTATGCCTATCAACGTTTCTGCGTCCTGTTCTAGGCCGCCACTCCACAATAGCTCGACTCCACCTGTCGTCCGTTCTGCGAGCCACGTGACCTGCCCACCTCCGATAACTTCTTATGGGAGGGTAAACCGCTTCGTTACGTAACGCGTTACGGTGCCAGTCTGTCTGGCTTCCCTTCCTCTCACGCATACGGCAGCGGTGGGCAGGCTCCTCCTCTCTCACTCTAACCCGCAGCGCCGCTTAGATTAGTTTAAGTTATCACTTCTGTCGTGCGTCCCGAGACGCACATGCTTTTGTTATTTCAAATTTCTGTATAAAGAATAACAAGGATACACTGTTTTTAAATACCAGTTTGTACCAGCGAGTTATAATCGCCACAGCCGGATTACTCAAAAAAAAACTAAATTTATTATAACTTATTTAATGTTACAAGAAAAATATAAAATTATAATTATTTTAAGGAAACGAATTGACTTGATCGATGCTAGATACGAAGTGTCGGTTTCACGTAGTCACGTAGGCCAGCAGCGGCTTGCACGAGGCACTCGCATGTTGCAGCCTCAGCGATTCCGTAGTTGTTGCGAAAATCAGGTCGATCGCGTGGAAATGACGTCTATGAACTTCGTGTCAGCAATCTGCATAGAGGCGCGCGGTGTAACAAGTGAGAGCTGGAGCGTAACTTTCCGCGTTTCACTGAGAGGCTGCAGCCGCTCATACAGCCCTCCCCGGGACACGTCGCCATGCTCAGGTAGGGCCGCGGCTCCACTGCCAGCGGGCACATCCATCGGCACACTTCCAGCAAATCTGCTAGATCTCGGTCCAACTAAAACTAGTCATATTTGTTTCTTAGGTTTCCACGCACATCACTCATTAAATAAAACTAGTTTTTACTGGTTAATGCACGAAACTTTATTTCAAGGGTCAAACAAATAAACTCAAAATTACAAAAAAGAATTTTAAATAAAATACTTTATTAAGTAAATTAAATAATAAATTCATACATAGACAATAAAACTTTAAAAAATCGAACAATGAATAAAAGACTTTCGAAGGTAGCTCGACAAATTAAATAAAAGTTTGATTCTGATGACGTAGCCTGTAAAGGCTACGAAACGTCAATAAATAAATAAAGTTTCGTGCATTAACCCGTAAAAACTAGTTTAAAACTAGTTATGTTTGTTTTCATTTTATTTTTTAAGCATTTAACTGCTAGATGTTTAAATCTAAAAAAAGTTTTAATAGAAAAAAAAGGGTCAGTGCATTCGCCCGTATTGCGAAGGGTGCGGGTCTCCGAGTCCCGTGTGCTGCCTGGTCCGCGTAGATTTTTTTTTCTATTAAAACTTTTCTTTAGATTTAAACATCAAGCAGTTAAATGCTTAAAAATAAAATAAAAACAACTATAAATGCTGTTTCTTCTTTCAAATGTTTAATACTTGAAAAAGTATTCATTTGACATTGTGGGTTACCTACAATGCGAAGAGATGGCGCTGCCTTGCAGCTTAAGGATAGGGAAATTTCGACGCGGCCATCAGGGCCGCGGTAGCATAATTGGTCAGTGCATTCGCCCGGATTGCGAATCCCGTCTGCTGCCTGGTCCGCGTGTATTTTTTTCTATTAAAACTTTTCTTTAGTTATATTTGTTTCTTAAGTTTTTCTCTTAACTCATTAAATAAAACAAGTTTTAACGGGTTATAAGATGCACTGATTTTATTTATATATTGGCGTTTCGCATCGAAATTCCGACGTGGCATTCCTGCAAAGGATGCGAAACGTCAATAAATAAATAAAATCAGTGCATCTAACCCGTTGATACTTGTTTTATTTAAAACTAGTAGTATTAGCATTTTTTAAGCAATTTAACTGCTAGATAAAATTATTACTCAACCATAAACATCATTTTTTGCTACAGACCGTTGATACTTAAATAGTATAACACTACTGTCCACTTGCAGCAATTCTCAATTTAACTAATACCAGATTCTGATCATACAATAGTTATTTTTCTATGGGAAAGATTCAATTGAAGAAAATTTTACTAGAAGAAAATCCACGCGGACCAAACAGCAGACGGGACTCGAATCCGCACCTCCGCTATCTGGATGGATGCACTAACCAATTATGCTACTGCGACCTTAATGGCCGTGTCGATTTTCTTCAAGTATTTCTTAGGCTACAAGGCAGTGCCATCTCGTCGCATTTAGGTTGTAAATACACGCGGACCTGGCAGTACACGTAACTCGAAACCCCACCCTCCCGCTGTTCGGGCCCAATGTTTTCTAGTAAAATTTGTTTAGATCTAAACATCTAGTCAAAGATATTAAATACCTACCCTAGATACACCACTTGCGTTCAAAATGTGTCCCAATCAAGAAGTGCTTGAACACCGCTCAAGCCTTTCTTGGTTCACAGTCACGCGAGGACTGTTGAAAACTCAAGATGCCGCAGAGCTCAGCGAAATAATGCGAAATAAATACTTAGAGTACGTAAAGTGTCCTTTTTTTCGACAGGTATATAATAAATGTTTGTTAATTTAACGCATTTGAAGCAAATTCTGGTCCAATACTTACTATAAACTGATTTAATAGAAAATATTAGTGATATTCAAATGTATGGTCGGTAATATAGCTGTCTCTTTTCTTCGCGGTCTGTACCTGCAATATTGCTTACAACGCATTCAGAATTGCGCGTAGAGTCAAGGAAATAAGGTCTATATTCTTCCGCATATAGCAATACGTCTTAAAAATTTACGAGCTTGCATTTTGAATTGTCATAACTCTTTGACTCGAGCGTTTTAATTAATACCTTAAACAATATGTATTAAAGGTGACTTTCAATGTTTAAATAAAGCCTTATATTGTTTTTGACAACGCGATCATCTTACGGAGCTCCGTGGATCGTCCAGTGTACCTTTTGGACAGGTTTCGGCCACGATTTTGTTCGTGATGTTGTATCTAGGGTATTTATTATCGTTGCATCTAGTAGGTAGTGAAATACTTAAAATATAAATATAACTGCAATTGCTATTTCTTCTTTAAAATGTTTAATTCTAATAAAGTAAAGGTATTCGTTTGTCATTGTGGGTTACCAACAATGCGAAGAGATGGCGCTGCCATGCAGCCTAAGAAATACTAGAAAAAAACGACACAGCCGTCAGTGCATCCGCCCATATGCTTATTTCTGTTTGCCACCCCTTTAACATAATAAAAAATCACGATTTCTTGTACTCTCCTATAAATAACTTTCACTCTTTTTTGCAGCAACGGAGTCAGCAAACCAGACTACAAGTTCCAGGCATAAACTGCAAAGCAATGTTTCTTTCGTGACAATTTGCATTTAATTCTTCAGTATACCTATGTACCTTTATTACACGAGTCATGACATGTTTTTATTGTGATCTTTATTTAGTTATAATTTATGAAGTAATCAGTATTCAGTGTACGAATGTATGACTATTGTAAGTTAAAAGTTTAATTTTTATGAACATTATGCTTGTCTGGTGTAATTTTAAATTAAAAATTTTGGATTTAAATAATTAAATTCCCAATAAATGTAGTTAATATTATGTTTGAATCAATATACTTTTTTCTTCTGGTAATTAAAAACATATATTAATTAAAAAATTCAAATAAGTCACAAACTGGATTATACAGGGTGTAAAAAAACCTTTAACGAAGTCGAAGGCCACGTATTTTCCACATCATGACGATCTTTTCTTCTGGACGATACCTGGAAAATTTATGGTTATGGAGATATTGAAGATCAGTCACAATTTTCTTTTTCTAGATTTTTACAAAAACATTATTTAGAAACTTTTATCGACGTACTTACATTGTTTGCGTAGCGCCACAGTAGTGCGCCGCGCTATACATTGCGTACTAGAAGAAAATTGTAATTTTTTAACTTAAAAATACAAATGTTTCTCACATACTTTCTAATATTGCTTGTTTGGGTGTACAGAATGCGTAGTCTTAGTCTTTGTCATAGTTTTTTTTACACCCTGTATATTGTGGACTATATAAAACTCACTTTATATATAGTATTACTATATTTGTCTGCATTGTAAATGGACACCTCGTTTTGTATTATTTTACTATGTGATACTCAATACGAATGTAAAAAATGTACTATTTATTTCGAATAAAAATACATTTACGAATAACCATATTTTTATTTTAACAATTCAGTAATTTACAAAGAGACAAGTTAGAGTTTAAAAAAGCATCAGAGTTATTGAAGATCTAATTTGGCCCTTCATATCAAAACAAAATATGTACTTCGGTACTTTTCGGGATAAAAAAATTAAACTGAAGGTGGCGCATGAAACAGCTAAATATAAAAACTGGACCTCTATATAGAACAGCATTATATTATTTCATTAGTAAAAAATGAACTGTTTTAAAATAATCTTTCGTTTACATCGAATTATTTAAAATTGAGTCTGAGTCCGCTCCAAAATTATAATTATTTTATTGTGACGCCACAATCCCTTTCTTTATATGTCACTGTAACATATTTGAAATATGGTAGCTAGGGGGGACGTGGTAACGTGTCGTTCGCCGTTTTCCTCGGGGCAGTTTTGTGGAGCTTTTTGTTCCGAAACGAACGTTTGAGCCTAAGCACGCATCTATAGCTCTATGCGCCCGAGGTAGGTTCCGAAGTGAGGTACTCTTCGAGGTGACATACTTCTTTTTTAGATATACAGCTCGAATCGTGTCACGTTAAATAACGTGACTCGTGACATGACGTCACACTTTCGTGCGTGAAGCCGGTGTTTATCGATTTATAAGATGCTATCACGTCCAAGAAATATCAACTGTTTATCAGTTTGTGTATAAATTAAGCATGTTGCTTAGTGTACTTTATAAAATTTTACGAGATAAGCGTTATAAACCGTTTTGGAAATTAGGGGCGGACTAGTTAGAAGTCCGATTAAAATGTTGACCATTATTTTGTTTTCGAGTTGACTTGCAATGCAGGGTCACAATATCTAAGCTAACCTATTGATTTCCTTCAAAACCTGTAAGTAACTGATGATATTAAAATTGATTTACTAAAGAAAGCTATCGTGGTGAAGTTCGTGGCATCAACAAGATCAGAAGATCTTTCACTAAAAAAAACACATTGACCATGGATGGACCACTACTGATGAAGCCGCTCAAGTGATTGCACTACTGCAAACAGGGATGCGACAGTGTGATGTCGCTCGGCAACAGAACTAGAGCCGTTTTTCGGTTCGAATAGTAAACGAGCGGTCCTGGAGACCGGTGGCCATGTCCGGAGGCATGGGTCTGGTAGACGTCGCTGCACCTCGGAGAGTGATGACCGATTCATCGTATCAACATCTCTAAGACATCGGTTCTCTAATGTTGTTGAGTTGCAACAGCAGCACCAGGCAGAACAACCGAAGGATAAGAAGGACGACTCATGGAGCTGCTACGGGTCCAAAATTGACCGTAGGAGGTAACAGTAGGTTTTAGGTTAGTTTTAAGAACCTTTTTGTATTTTTTTTTGTGTTATTAATCTCATTTAGGCTTGTTGAAAATATATCGATGTATCGATATATCGATATTTTTTGTTCGATATATCGACATTTTTTGCCGGTATATTTTGATTTGATATATCGATACATCGATACAAAATAACCAATATCGAAATTCGTATCAAAAACGATATTTTGAAAATTATTAGCGGCTTATCTATCACGATCTAACTAAATTCGTATCTGGAAAAATCGTAACTGGATCTCAGATTAATGATATACAACATATCTATGATCTGTGCTGTATTTAGTATTGTCTATTATTTGTAAATCTGTTTCGCTGGTGAATTGGTTGTGCTGATTTCCATTATATTCTGTGAAGTGTGTGACTGTCTAGTCTTGTTAACGAAAGAGGCCCTGCAATCATTTACCTGAGGCCCTGCAATCATTTTCATCATTCGAAAATAGGGTCTATTTTTAGGGAGATAATTTTCGTTTCATTATTATTCCGCGTGTCATATTTCGTGAGCTACTGTACGATATTTTTGGGAAAATTGGTCCGATATATCGATGTTTTTTTCGCGATATATCGAAGCCGATATTGATATTTTTTAAAAGATCGATGTATCGATATATCGATATTTTTTTCAACTTTCGACATCCCTAATCTCATTTTAATTAAGGATTTTTATTGTCTTGTAAACTTTATTGTTTCTTGGCACTGTTCCAATAAAAAAATAGTTTTTCTTTTAAGTTTAATGGGCTTTCAAATGACGCCAATGTTGGTGGGGGTAAATGCGTGTGTTAAAGGTTATAATAACGCTTGCAAGCTATTTTCGCGGAGGCGCGATATTATTGACGCAGAGTGTATTACTACTGATCAAACAACGGGGCCTAGTCACTCATCCTAGAGAAAGTGATAGAGCAACATGATTAATTAAGAAATAAAACAAAATACAAATTCCGTAATTTTTAAATGTGTAATAGAGATAGAAAAGTAACTTAGACACACGTCCCGACATCAGTTTTAAATCAGTTCAATAAAAAATATCAATAAACCTAGTAAATTGAATAAGACTCCGTACACATCAAAATTAGTGAGAAATAGACTAATAATGAAATTTCACATAATATGTCCCATTTACAGGTTAATTTGCACAATTCAAGTTCTAACTAATTTAGATTTACTTTAAAAATGGGCCTGAATTTGGCGTGATCATGATGTTGACTCTGGCATGATTCGCTTAACCTAAAATTATTTGACAACAGTGTATCCTTATCATTCCCTATACAGAATAACAAGTTTTAAGTGTTCGTAAACTTAAAACTAAACGTGGCAACAGTATCTACTTCTTACAGTATGACATAGTTATACTGTTGTCAAATAAGTAACCCAGGCCATACTCGAGAGACATCATTGGTTACTGCCATTAATAAGAAGCCCCCCATACCACATAATATTAAATGTATCTTGAGTATTGTTAATCCTCTTCTATTAAAAATCTATTTGAAATTCATAACGTTTATAAACTAAATAGAAGTCTTTAACACCTCTGATTTTTAATCTTTGTTGTTCTCTAAATCTGTAACAACACATAACAACAAAACTAAACACCATAATCAATGGAGTGATTATGTTGTTTAGTTTTGTTGTTGTGTTGTTACAGATTTAATACGTTAATTTTAGATAAAACTATTCAGAATATGCATAGAAACGCTTATTGTTTTTATTTAACTGATTCCCTGCGTGTAAAAGCTGCCAGAGCGACGTAATAAAAGAAGAACAACAATACAATAAGACGACACGTCACTTTGACTTAAGTACTTGATTGACGTCTCCGAGTGCGCTCGTTATTTATAATATTTAATAATACAATTTTCAACAGTGCCCGGTTGAGACATATCATTTGATAAAAGAAAATACAGCTTCACAATATGCAAGTAGGCAGATTTCTTATAATATTGGACAGATATTACACATTTTAACAAAAGAAACATAAACATCAAACAATGACGCTATTCTCACAGCTTATTTTTACTCTGAAAGTAGGTATATATAACTATATTTTAGCATGAGACAATTGCAAAGTGCGTTTTCACTCGATTGGAATAAGTCTCTTCGGTGGTCGAAAACTGGCCAAAATTAATGTCCCACGGCCTTTGTGTAGAATGTTATAGTTAATTTAACCCTAAGACTCGGCTCGGCGGCGGTGCGGCCTGCAGACAACAACCAGGGAGCGAGGGCCGCACATCACTCCGACTCGGCCGGTGTATGCCACGTCAACCTCTCCTCGTAGAACGCTATCACCTGGGAAAGGAAACGGGAGGATTACTAATATATCGGTTGTCCGCTTGGCTCGTCTATACAACGATATCGCCAAAGAGTTGCCAGAGCTAGATATCCATTTTCAGAGCTATTCTGAGTTTATGACACTGCTTAAAAGGGCTGACGCCCTTTAGCCGCTTATGCTTGTCGTTTGTGCTTCCATTTTTTTTATGCTGTTTTTATGTATTTGTGTGCCTGCTTATTTTGCGTTTTTATTTTTAACGCATGCTGTGGCTACCTTAATTGTAAGTGCAGTAAGCTATAAGCAATTTGAGCTTTGTTTGTACCAAGAACTGCTGTAACTTATGTTGGTGGCCCTTATAATAAATAAATAAATAAATAATATACACTAGCAAACCAGTGAACCAAATGTGCACCAAAACCTGATTTCTCGAAAACCGGAAGTGCTACGTTACTCAAATCCGGTTTGTAGTCTTATCAGACTATTCTTAACTTATAACTTAAATATTCTCTTTATCTATCTCTTACGGTTTGGCCGCTGAAACAGCACCACAGACAGACGGCCTTGTCTAATAGATAAGAGATTCAACACTTAGGACTTGAGGAGCTCGATGGCGCAAGTGGTTAGCGCGTTCGGCTGCGATCGTTGAACTTAAACAACTTTCGCAGTGGTCGGTCATTGGATGAGTGACCAAAAATTTACTATCTCGAGCTCCTCCGTGCTTCGGAAGGCACGTTAAGCCGTCGGTCCCGGCTGGATCTGCAGACGTTAGCACCCACCAATCCGCACTGGGCCCGCGTGGTGGGTCACGGCCCAATCTCCCTATTCCATCCATAGGGAAGGCCTGTGCCCCAGCAGTAGAGACATTAATAGGCTGATGATGATGATGACTTAGGACTTTGGATCAAAAAATATAATACAACTATTTGTTGGTATAATTTTTATTTTAAGCATGTAACTGCTCGATGTTTAAATCTAAAGAAAACATTACTAGAAAAAATTCCACGAGGACCAGGCAGCAGACGGGACTCGATCCAGCACCCTTCGCTATCCGGGGTATTCATATATGTAAAGGTATTTTTATTCACTAGGTATTCAGGTAAAGATCAGAAAATGATTAAAATCAATATTCTTTGATTAAATTCTATTAATTTTTAGTTTTAACTGTAACTTATATTTTTAGGTATTGAGTTTAGCCTTTTTGTACTATATATTAATCCTTAGTAGTTAGGTAGTATTAGAAATGCATGTTGTGCTTACATCTAGTAGGTTGCAAAGTAGTTGATGTTTTCTTAGTATGCATAATTATAATTTACATGGATATTGTTAGTAACCAGTTTTGTGAGCCAAATAAAAATAGAATAATAACTATATATAGGGTGAAATTGAATGTTTTAATGAAACTTCGTGAGATTGTTGGGTTACGAGTATAGAGTATGCCTGATTTTTTTCGGATTTTTTTGAAGTATTTTTTTTCATGTATTTATTTATAATTTGTGTATTTTTTTGTCCTTTCCTCCTTTTGAGTAGTTATTCATATTAAACAAACATGCTTACATATCCAGTGAAAAACAACTAATAAATAAGCACTTCTAAAAAACGGAAAAACAGTAAAATTCCACCGCGGGTCAACGACCGACCGCGCCCGCCAGCCGTTGAGTGAGTAGGTACGTACACAAAGCTCAGCTGACTCGTTTGATTCCACACAATACAATAAAATCGTCTTAGATGCCTTTATTGAAATTGAAATAATAAGCACAAATGTCATCTTCTCTTAAGCAGAGAAAAACTTAAAAAGTTAAGAATAATTTTGTCACGATTGGAAATAGGCAAAAGTTAAACAAAAAGAAATACTTATTGCAGTTCAATACTTGGGTCAGAATGAAATTTATTACCAGGTATTCAAAAGTACTTACGAGACCGATGTACCTATTAATTTTTTTCTCTATAACTTCCCAATAAATCACCAAACCTACTTTCGTAAAGCCTTGTGGCTCTGCTGAGTATTCCGTGACACTCGCAATAACAACACACCATATCCAAATTCTTATATTGAGGGCACAGAACAAGAACTAATCAAGGCATTATTTGCAAATCTTGTCTTGTCACCAATTTAAAAGCGCTTGAGACTCTGCTCGCTCACTGCGCTGTGCACCGCGCATACCTAGATAGGTAGGCAGGAAGGTATTCAACGGCGGGAGCGGTCATTGCTCCCGGCCGCCCGTCTCCTGTTTTTATGTCTTTTTTAGTAGTGCTTATTACTTGTTTTTTACTTACTCTGTATGCATGTTTTAAAAGAATAATTATTTAGTACCCAAAAGGAGGAAAGGACTTAAAATATAACAAAAAAAAACAAAATTTTATTTTAAATCATTTTTTAAAAAATCCGAAAAAAATCAGAGATACTCTATATACGTAACCCAACATTCCCACGAAGTTTCATTAAAACATTCAATTTCACCCTGTATTGGTGTCGATTCTGGCATGATTCTCTAAACCTAAACTTAAATTTGACAACAGTGTATCCTTGTCATTCGCTATACAGAATGAAAACGAGAGACTAATGTTTAATTTAGTTTAGATTTAGAGAATCACGTCAGAATCGACACCATTAACTTTATTTTTCTATGTCTATCAGGTAGATTATCAAAAAGTATTGGGCACATATGTTTTCTTTATTCATATAATCAAAACATTACAGAGATTATATTGATTTGAAATTTCGCACGACGTCACGTCCTGCTACAATTTTTAATCAGAAGTGACGTTGCGAGCCCAACCCCCAATAGCATTTCGCGCGCTTCATATTTGTAATTTTTTTGGTTGTATGACAAAAAAAATAGTTTTTCACAATGTAACTGACGACTAAATGGAATTTCGTTTACCCTGTCATAATACCCTATTTTATCAACGACTTAGAAATAATATTAAATACAAACTGAGCTAGAAAGTGGTTCCACGCAAACTGCGATCAAGTGGGCGGAGCGAAAAAACTGCGATCAACACGCCGATCATGTGATTGGTTGGGATTACCGTTTAACATTATCTTACGCAATGTATGGAAGGCCGAATTTGCAACGAATTCTTTTGTAGATATTTGATTTGTGAATGTAGTTTGTTTTGTCTTTGTGCGTGTGCGCTACTATTGAAGTTTAGCTGTATGACTTTGTAACTATGTTTTAGCGGCCTTTGTTACAGAGTTATTTTATTGTTACACTAGCGGCGGACCGTGACTTCCTCCGCGTTAAGTATAGGTTTTTTTGAAAATCCCTCAGTAGGCCTTTAATTTTTATTTTTATTATTATTATTATTTATTATCTTAGGGCAGCTAACAGCTTATGAACATAAAAAATCAAAAAAGCTATTGACAAGCTACCACAACATTTCGCTGTCTATAACATTTTCCTCGATAAAAAGTATGCTGTCTCAATCCAGGTCATAACTAAGTGCGTACCAAATTTTATCCAAATCCATTCAGCAGTTTTCGCGTGATTGAGTAACAAACATACAAACTTTCATATTTATAATATTAGCAGGTCATTTTGAATTCGTTAGCTATTATACATCATCTCACCTGCTGTGGACACTTGACGTTGGCGACCTTGGCTGGCACGAGTTCTGCCTCGTCGGAGTCGGCCCACTTTATGAGGAACATCAGCTCGCCTGTCGCGTCCGACGCGCCTGACGATTCAAATTCAATATGCTAGTTCTTTGATTCATTGTCGAGAACGAAATAGAAAGAACGGAAATGTAAACCCATAATAACTAAAATATTTAAATTTTAATGTTATAGTTATATTAAAAACAAAACAAAAAACAATTTACTGTTGCTCCATAATTACACAAAAAAGTTCACCAACACCTGTCTCAAGCGAGTGGAACTTGCGCTCACAGTCACTGGTCTGAACTGGTTCGAGATATCGTGTCAGTGAGCGGTGTCTATGTGTTTGTTGCTCGAGCGCAATTTGTATGTAGATTACTTTCTGTAATATCCATTTTGTGCAAAAACTGACCTATAATTTTCTCAGCCTTGAGCCCCTTATCGAAGCCAGACTTGGATTTGTCCTCCTTGCTTCGCTTGGACTCTCTTGGTTCCTCTACAGAAGACACGCTAGTGCCGCGCCCCTTGCGGCTCGTGCTAGTGTCCTCGCTAGACTCACGTACTCGCTTCTTGCTGCGCTCCTCGGGCTTTTTGGCTTTCTGAAACAAATCACCGTATGTTACTTCAAAGTTGATACAAAATGAGTAGTTACTCTGTGATTATGGTAATAGGGTATACAAGACAGTTACACCAAATTGCTAAATAAAAGTTTTAACATTTCGCTTGTGACTTCTGAGGTAAGGCTATGGGTTAATAGGACTCTTCAGCATGATCCTTTCTGGTCCTGACCTGGTTAAGCCAGCAACCCTCATGATCCCACCCAGTAAAACTTAATGGAGTGTGGAGTGAATGGACTTTAAACAAGGTGCCATCTGGAGGGGCTTTCGGTTTTTTTTTCTCTTAACTCCGAGAATCTTGCATAAATACAATAACATTTTTCTGTACATATTGCATTCAATACTAAATTTATAAATCTGTTTGTCAAATTTTCACACTTGAATATCCTGAGAAATCCATTTTGGTGAATGTTTGTTAGTAACAGATTTTACTTGAAACTGGGGAACAAGTTAAAATATTCAATTAAAGTTGCTAGCACCTGTTGATAATAAACCATTGTTTATTATCAACAGGTAATGTAGTACTCAGACCTAGAGACACACATACACACCTCTTTTTCTTTTTCTTTTCGATTTTCTTCAAATGTCCTTATCAGTTCTTCACAATCGAGATTTTCTTCCGGTTCCCATGTGCTTTCCTCTTCTTTGTACCCTTTCCACTTCAGTAAGTACTGAGTCTGCAAATTATTGACAAAATTTTAATGTAGGATGGAATACTACACTAGACAATCTCTTTCACTTTCAAAACAAGATTATAAAAATGGTGTAATTAAAGTTGAATAAAAGACTAAGAATTTACAAGCATTTTAGTGGCATTATAATAGAGCAGTATTGGATCAGTAAATAGCGCATATCACTTTCATCTGACAAAAGCCATTAGCGAATAGGCCCACTGAACCTATTGTATTGCAGAAACAATACTATAAAACCTATACGAAATTGACTTGTCTTCAAGCTTCTATTGAAGTGTGGGATACATCATAGTAGCCAAACAGATGCCAGTGTAATGACAACAATACAGGCCAGTAAGCCAGCCCATGTCAAGAGAAATTATGGTTTCATTGGACTCTATTTCTGTAAATAAGACTGCAGGTATAAAAAAACATGTCTTTAATGTGAATTCTTAATGAGAGACAGTTGATTATATACAAATAGGAGCGGAATCCCAGGTATTGCTCAGCCATTGCAGTCTCAAACTCAAACTTATTTATTCAGTCTAGGTTGTAACAAGCTCTTGTGAACAACAACTCTATGCCAGTGGTTAATAAATATACCGCAGGAGACCTTGTGCTGAGAAGAAACTCAGCAAGGGCTATTTTTTCTCCCTGTTCCTCATTTGACATTGAGGGTTACCTACAATGCGAAGAGATGGTGCTGCATTGCAGCCTAAGGCTAGAGAAAAATTCGACACGGCCGTCAGGGCCGCGGTAGCATAATGGTCAGTGCATTCGCCTGGATAGCAAAGGGTGCGGGTTCGAGTCCCGTCTGCTGCCTGGTCCGCATGGATTTTTTTTCTAGTAAACTTTTCTTTAAATTTAGTCATATTTAGTTAAGTGCTTTGACATTCTTTTAATCTTTAACAGTATGGGAACCCATCTTAAGGAGGCTATTTTTGATATAGATTTAAGCTTATTATAAGGCAAACCAAAAGGAGGGATATAATTCTTAATGGTGAAAAGCTAAATATAGTTGTGGGATACAGCTGACATCGAGACAGATTTTATTCTTCAAAAACAAGCTATAAGAGCTACTTATTGCTTGGGATCTTGAACTTCTCTTAGGGATAAATTTAAAGAAATAGGTATAATGACTACTACAAAATAAAAATAGACTTCCGGTAAAGAGAATATGACACATTTCCTTTTTCTTGTATTAAGTATATTATTAATAATATGCCAGTTCAGTACCCGAGACAGTGAATAACATGTCTATCTTGGTATATGAATATTTGCCACACCTTTCTACTAGTGACAAATAGAGATTTGAGTTGTACAAAATGCATAAATATATTTCTTACAACATATCAAACATCCATTTTTCTTTTAACGGATTGCAAAAAAAATAAACGAATCGGCAAGCCCGCTCTGATTCGATTGGTGCCTGCGTTTTCTTTTCTGTCTGTAAATGGCTGAGCTGTATTGCTGTCCTTTTCTTGATAACAAATGCCAAAAAACTAAATAACATTTATGACAACCTGTGATTTAGGAGAAAAAAAAATGAAAAGTGTTGCTGTGATATTTGTTATTTCATCTTGAACTATTTGTGTTCTTTATAAAAGCATCGAAGGCATTGTTTTATCTTAATAACACAGAATATTCGCAATATCGTTATATACAGTGCACATGTAGCGTATTTGAATGACCAATCGTGACTAAAGCGAATTGTGGTCATGCACCACAATTTAAGCGGATCACTTTTGAGCCGCGAGTGTTGTATCTTCCCTTTTTGTTTTAATCTAAGTACTTAGGGAATTTCTACACTATTGCACGATGGTTTATTTAGATCCAGCCCTGGGCTGCCTGCGCGATTGGCGTCAGCTAATCTATTAGTATTAAACTACCATAAAGTTTTCACAGGGATTTAAAGAGTTTTTCTTTTATTATTTTATACAAATGTGATAACGCAAATTGCATTAATTATTTAAAAAAATCTAAGTACTAACCTTTCCTTTTACAGTGCGTCTGTCGAGAACTTTCTCTACAACATACTCTTCCTCACTGGAAGCTTCGCTAGTCTGCTCTCCTTTTTTATCTTTTTTCCCCATTTTTGAAGCTTTTCAATATATATCAAATATTATTAATTTACTTGTTTGCTTAATTCGTTGGCGTCGTCATCGAAAGCTAGACCAAAGCCGCCAAAATAACCAAAATGGCGGGGCGCCGGTAGGTCAATCAGTCAGTCAATGTCAATCGCAATCAATCCATTGTCAATCATAAATATTTAAGCCGGGTTTATATTTGTCTGACGTATTGTGTCGTAAGCCTTGAGGGGTACTGATGAGGTGGGTAAAGTTCACATCTATTTGTCACTTTCTGACGATAGTAATAAACAGTACTTTCGTACCTGTCAGAGACTGCACATTCGCAATTTTTTTTTCAGGAATCCTCATATTCTGTTTCGGATTTTGTAAGGATTCAGCTGGAGGGGCTTTAAATTCTTCTTAAAAAATAGGAAAGAAAAGACATACACAAGAAACACCTGATTTAATGAACAAATTCGAACCGTGTCCTTTAACCAATATTGCAAGAAGTGGCTGCATAAAAAGACTTTTTTTTACTACGCATGTTTCTGAATTATTTAATTATGCCGGCACTTCACTTGGCTATTTGTATATGCTATTTCAAACTTGAAAACAGTCTGCCCTTATCACGCTTTATAAGGAGCGGTCTGATGTTAGGTTTACAAATAGCAAGCACCGATATTACATTTTGTGGCATACTAAAGCACTATATTGGCCGATTCTCTAAACTTGAAACTAAATTTAATATAAATCTCTCCTTTTCATTCTGTATAGAGACACAATGGTATCGATTCTGGCGTGGTTCTCTAAACTAACCAATGTATTCATCTCAGTGTCCATGATAATACATCTATGCTATATTAACATTTGTCAATTGATCAATTCTCATTCATTCATTCCATTCACATGAAATTGGTCTTAGGTCACAGAACGACCAATACCAGCATCGCATGGCAAACATTGTTTGTACAAGCTTCACTTCAGTCTATCAGCCTGTTGCTCGCTCGGTGAACAAGTGTTGCGGCTGTATTTTTGTTTAGCTCTTTGTTATATTTTATGTGAACTACCAAAACAAAGGCTTTTATTGAGTGCTTAAAGTGTTCTGTGGACTTCAGTGTGAAAATTTTATCCTTCCGGATGCATTGATTTGTTTTAAATGAACTAGAATTTACTTTTTTGTCCACCAAGTGGTTTCAAATTGACTTTTGACGTCACATAAGGCGACCAATCAGTTGGCGCGAAAGAAAAATAACATTGTAAATTACAAACAAGAAGATTCTCGGTCTTGTTTTCGTGGACTTGTATGCTTATTTTGGATAAAAGTGTTGTTTTTTTTTTGCTGCCTATATGACAATGGATCAGATAAAGTGAACATATGAGGGAAATATGTTATTAAAATGTACAGCGGACGGACGGCCCATCAAAGTGAACGGGCCCTTGGTGCACCAGGCCAATGGTGCAAGAGGTAAGGTTTAACATGTACTTTTTATTCATACAGCTTTGGACACAAGCTTCCATTGAAACCCATCTAAGCAAAAATTCTTTTGAAAAAAGAAAAAACCTTATATGGATTTCAAGTACTATTAAAACCACACTTTATTGTTGAGTAACCCAGCTTAAATAGTTTTTACAGATATCCAAGCGTTTTCAAATGATTGCCATACAACACAACCAAGCTCTAAAGAAATAACATAGGTAGCTGCAGAATCAAAATTTTTTGAGCATTAAACATAAAAAAAGGTTTTATAAACTTATAAATTATAAAACCTTTATATGCTTAATGCTCAGGTTAGTAACGTTAATTACTGCAGAGAACAATTTGTGTAATTTACTAATTTCTATTTTAATTTGAATATCAAAATTTAAACAATTGGAGGATTGTTTTCCTTCTGTACAAATATAATTAATACATCCAGTAATAATTCAAGTGGCCGGGCTTAGAGACTTCATATAAATGCAAAGTTTGTTAATGTGACAAATTGTCTTAAACAGTAAAAGCCCCTTAATCACGCTTCCTTTACTCGCGTTTTCACTATTCGGTGAATAAAAATGCAACCAAATTCTTATATTCGCAGCAAAAAATATCATTATTTGCGGATCTAATCTTTTGATTAAAAGGGATTTGGTACCCTTTGTTAATGCGTCGGCAGATGGAGAAATTATAAAATAAATTGGCCTTATGATAACTCAGTCTACAGTAAGTTGTCTCATGTTTACTTGATCACAATTTTGGTAATGAGTTCCGCTGTGTTCCTTAATTATAATTTCGACATCAAAAATATCAGTGTTACCACTGAAAGTAACAGCTCTTTAAACCCTTGCCTAAGCTGTCATTAATTAACATCAACTTCAATTAAATTAATGAAATTTATTTTATTTTTTGCCACCTTGGAACATATTCCCTATAATCCTATATAAATTACCACTCCATATTCAAGGTTTCTGTATTCGCGGCATATTTTAGGAACATATACCCCAACAATACAGAGCTTTTACTGTACTAACACAAAGAAAGTGTGTCAATAAATTGATACTCTAAAAGCAGTCATAAAACTATTATTTTAGTACATACTTCAAAAACACAACAAAAATTATATCTTATTTGTCTTTTAATATATACAGTATAACACCGATTATCCCTACACTGATTAACTGAATCTCCAATTTTCCGAATCAGTCCTACCAAGTTAATTTTGTATTATGTTTGTTTATGTTATGTTATATATTGTTATGTTATTAAGTTTTGTTTTGTTGTAATAAGTTGGACCTCCCTAGAGTCCGGATATATTTCATCTGTTATGGTTGAAAGCTACAGGCAAGACTACATGTTTTGCATGGCGCGGTTTTTGATGTGTAACATCTTTCCTCTCACTTTCCTGCAATTTGTGGGAGTGATTTAGTGAAATGGGACGGAAGTGTGTAACAGGAAGTCGCGAAAGCGCATACTATTTCATTTGATTTTACAACATAATGTTCAAATGGCTTATTCCTTTTGTACCTAGTAGGTTTAATTTATTTTTTTACTACTATACCTAAGGTGAGGTTTCATTTGTTGCACATCATACGCGACTACTGTATTTTGCTACTTTGTACCTCTATTATTGTATTTAGTATTTATTGCTTTACTGATGTCTATACTATGATGATAAATGCTTGACTTGAAATCACTTCAATCTTACAAATTTATGGAATCTCATTTACATTTGGCAGACAACATGCTCAGATACTGTACTTAATAGTCCAGTCAAATTACGGAATCAAATAAACATGAGCGAACACAGTTTGGGGATTTTGAGGATCGTTAGGGGGGTGCATCCTGAGCTTAAGTTCCAATTTGAGGGGCTGTACTGAGGTCAGCTCAAGGTCATTTCGATGCAAACGCGTTTAATTCGATATCTCGAGAAATATCAGTGTTAGCCAAAAAATTATAGAGACCTTTTTTCTTCTAAATGAAATTTATTAACTTTTTTATTTAAAACTTTTTTTTGTAACATCAATATTTTTTAAGTTATTACTCCCGCAAGGCAAAAATTTCATTTTTTTCCCTATTTTTCGTCGTTTTCTCCCCAAACATTCAATTTTATTGAATTTTACCGATCATCAACGTGTATATCTTTTAATTATGCACAATTTTGTTCTTAAACTTTTTTCTGTAACTTCAATACCTTCGGAGTTATATATTATTTTACCGAGCGAAATCCACGCCACTGTCGCAATATAAAAGGGTAAATCCATTAAACTATTTAAAAATTGGGTATTTAATTTGGGTAAATTTATGGGTTTGTTTGGGTAACAAGTAAATTAACAATTAAAACTGTTTCACACATTTATTGATACAAAAAATAGGTTATAAAATTCGGAAAATTAAGCACCCGAGGTCGAATAACTCCGAAGGTATTGAAGTTACAGAAAAAAGTTTAAGAACAAAATTGTGCATAATTAAAAGATATACACGTTGATGATCGGTAAAATTCAATAAAATTGAATGTTTGGGGAGAAAACGACGAAAAATAGGGAAAAAAATGAAATTTTTGCCTTGCGGGAGTAATAACTTAAAAAATATTGATGTTACAAAAAAAAGTTTTAAATAAAAAGTTAATAAATTTCATTTAGAAGAAAAAAGGTCTCTATAATTTTTTGGCTAACACTGATATTTCTCGAGATATCGAATTAAACGCGTTTGCATCGAAATGACCTTGAGCTGACCTCAGTACAGCCCCTCAAATTGGAACTTAAGCTCAGGATGCACCCCCCTATCGATCCTCAAAATCCCCAAACTGTGCTCGCTCATGTTTTTTTAGCCCTTTTTTTTCCGTAATTTGACTGGACTATAATGTAAGAAATGTATTTAGAGCACTTATGTATTAAAAACTTGTCCACAGATTGTGGCCGTTTAGTGGTCAAATTGTGAAATTGGATGTTTTAATGTTGGCAATAATCTAACTGTTTCAAAATCTTTTATAGAGGTTTTAAATCATGAGTGTAGGTAGGGAATTTTTAAAATGTATACATTAATAATAAAATAATTGACAATATTAAGACAACAATAAAAGTGGCCAAATATATAAAAAGAAACAAATAGTCAGTCTGGAAATGTGAATGTTGTTTGTTGTTTTTGTCAATAAACAACTCACCTAAAGTTATTTATAAAATGCTGCATATGTGAAAATATTTATTTTGGTTCATTTGCATCTGTATTTATTGGTCAATATTATTTCTGACGAGATCAAAAGTTTATCACAGATATGAAGTTGATTAACGATTATTGTCACTTCCTCGAGTCGCATTTGCAATCTATTTAAAACTTAACTGGTTAATATAGTATCCAATAGTTCTATATCTAACTATAATCCGATTCAACTAAGAATAGGACCGACTGGGCGCCATATTTTGACGTCATAGCTCTCAATTCAAACCAAATAAGTAGAGTGAGCAGAAAAGTTTCTATTTAATAAAACTGATTTACTAAGATTAAGGGAGAAAAAACATCAGATTTTTTAATAAAATTAATTTACTAAGATTGA